TCAGTGAAAAACGCAGCATTTAATTGCAAGGATATGTTGTGTATTTATCATCCATTTATCCAAAACACTTCCTTCAGGGAAAAGTTAAAAAAAAAAAAGTCATTAAAGTGGGTTCACGTGCAACCCAAAGTAAAGCTGCCATGTTTTCAAAGACGAGGCTTAAGTGAACAAATAGTAGTGACGACTGATAATATAAACATTTCAACAATGGGGAAGTTTGAAGATAAGTTGTATCCTACGATATGATATTTTGACTTGATAGTTCAGAGTTCTTTTACTACATATCATGAGTGAAGGGCGATTTGATAAACCCTCAAAGAGGTCGCTTGTTCAGAACTTTATCGTTACTTAGTGATCCCCGATGTCCTGGAGAAAGAGAAATATGGGAAATTAAGTTCCTTGTTTGGAACAAAGCTCCTCTGCAGGGAAATTGAAGAATAAATCCCTTATAACGGTAACCGTGAGTTTCCAGAACTTAAGAAATATTTAATCAAATTGAAACCGAATACAAGCTTCAAACCCAGTAGTTGGATGATAAACTAATATTTTTGTCGTTATATCGATGTTGATCATCGAAGAAAAAAGTGCGTGCTAATACTCACTTGTAGAAAAAAAGTCAGTCTTTCGCAGAACAACTATCTGCTTGACTGGTTAAATTGTTGATTTTCCGACCTGATAGCTCATCGGTGACAAGTTTGACAAATTAAAAAGAGTGGATAATTTTGATCAAGGCATTCCCGGCCAGCTCGCAACAACAGCGACAACACAGATCGTCATATTGCAGAGTGATGGCTACAGCAAACGTTTCTGGAGACGAAAAGCAGAACACTTTTCTGGTTGAACAGCCATACTGCTCTCCAGATCTAACGTCTGGAATACAAGGCCACTTGATATTTATCTCAGTTTTCAACGCTTTTCTGTCCATTACTGCATTTCTTGGAAATGCTCTGATCCTATTTGCTCTTCACAAGGAGTCTTCACTTCATCCGCCGTCCAAAAACTTGCTTCGTAGCCTTGCAACATCAGAGCTTTGTGTTGGTCTTATTGTAGAGCCTCTATACGTGACTTTGTTGGTGACTGCAGTAAAAGAACGTTGGAAAGTTTGTCACTCCGTGGAAGTTGCAGTTTTTATAACAAGCTCCATTTTGATCGCAGTGTCTTTGCTCACCCTGACTGCTATTAGCGTGGACAGACTTCTCGCCCTGTTGCTGGGACTGAGATACAGACAAGTTGTAACTTTGAAGCGAGTCTAATTGATCACTATTACCTTTTACGTTGTGTCCACTGCCTTTTCAATAATCAGACTCTTTAGGAGGCCCCTTATAGCGTCACGGTATGGCACTTTAGTTCTTTCATTGTGCCTAATAACCTCGACCTTCTGTTACACGAAGATTTTCTTCTCCCTCCGTCATCATCAACATCAAGTGCAGGACCATGTTCAACAACCGAACCAAACAAATCAACTGAACATAGCGCGATACAGAAAGGCAGTGTTTACTGCACTGTGGTTGTAATTCATGTTAGTCGTTTGCTATCTACCATATTTAATATTGGTCACTTTGTTCATTCATTCGGGCCATCTTTATCTGTTTCTCTCGCTTTCGAATCAGTTATACATTAACTTTAGTTTACCTAAACTCGTCATTAAACCCGATTCTTTACTGTTGGAAGATCGACGAAGTGAGACAAGCAGTGAAGGACACAATCACACAAGTTCTTTGCTCTTGATCGAGTTAGCCCTTTTAGAACTAAATCATCCCTTAGCTTACTAAGAAAAAAAAACGATAGTTAACAGATAAGATTATTCTTCAAAAGCTGTCTGGAATTAAAAGCGAATTCCCGGTTACGTTTAGTGGTATTTTGACAGCATTGCTTTTTCTTCAATTGGTAGGAGTAACAACGGTAAATTAAAAAGTTGAACTGAAAAATGTTTTGTAGTTCCGAATAAACAGATGAAAGCAGGAATAGATTCCAATCAGTTCTCTCTGAATATAAAACTGCATTGATGCAGAGTTTCCTTCATCTGTTTCCTTTGCTCTAATTTTGAGTAGATAGATAGTAAATACTGAATAGCAGAGTAAATTAAACAAAGACCTGTTTGTCAGCTTGAACAAAAGCAAAGTGAAAGTGTCATTCATATACAAAAAAGGGAACAGAATAGCTGGAAAACTTTGTTGAGCTTGCATTAAGAGACCAAGATGGCGGCCCGTCGAGCTCAACGATCGACATCTACGATCTCACGGAAAAATAGGGGACTGTGAACAGTCTATGTTGACTTCGATAAAAAAAAACAACAGCTGGTACTCAGTCCTTTGGAAGAGGCGGGAAAGGAATTTTAAACCAGCACTGGCTACATATTTGTCATTTTAATTTTGAAATAACGCAGCCATAATTGTAAAGGGTTATTAATTTAAATTAGCTGTTGTGAATTTATCCTCAGTAAAAAGCTGAGAACACTAATGGAGGAAGCTTTCCTTTCATTTCTTTGTAGAGGAGCTTTATTCCAAACGATAAGGTTACTTCCCAAAATGCCTTTTTCTCGAAGACATCGAGGATCAATACTTCGATAGCTTTGCAACTAGCCCTTCACTAATCTAATGAAAAGAGCTCGGAACTATCACGTTAAAATATCATATCTTAGAATATAATTTATATCCAGACTGCTCTGTGTTTGAAATGGTTATTTTATCATTCGAAATTACTATTTCTTCGCTTAAACCTCGTCCTTGAAAACATGACAGGTATACGTTGGGTTTGAAGAATAAATTTCTTGAAACGACAACCGGATGTTTTCAGAATTTTAAGAAAAATATTCCATAAGAATTAAAAATACAAACTTCAAGCCCAGTAGTTGGGTCATAAATTTATACTTTTGTACATATTCCTATGCTTATCATCGAAGAAAAAAGTGCATGCTTGTACTCACTGGTACTAAACGAAGTCAGTCTTTGGCAGAAAAGCCATCTGCTTGGCTGGTTACATTGTTAATTTTCTACCTTGAGCGCTCATGCAGGACATGTTTGACAGAATAATTAAAAAGCTTGGATAATTCAATGATCAAGGCACTCTCGGCCAGCTTGCAGCAACAGCACAGATAGTCATTTTGCAGAATAATGGCGACAGCAAACGTTTCTGGAGACGAGTAAGGATAGTAAGAACAACGGTAATAATAATAATAATAATAATAATTATAATTATAATAATATGATAATAATAATAATAATAATAATAATAAGTAATAGTAATTGGACCTCGTGTCGTACAATTCAGGTAGAAATCGCGCGAGTAATTTCAAAATCGGACGAGCGCTAAGCGCGAGGCCGATTTGAAATTACGAGCACGATTTCTCCCTGAATTGTACGACACGAGGTCCAATTACTAATTAATCGTATCTATAACAAATTTCGACAATAAAAGTGTCTTTTGAGAAATTCTTTTGAGCGAACACGTCTGAAGCGCTTTTCAAAAGTTTTGAAGACTGTAGGAAACATTGCCAAGGAAGCCGTTAAAGCGCGCGTAATTGACGTGCGAATCACGTGGGCATCTGATTACAGGTACCCAATTACAAAAAGCTCAAATTGGGTACCTGTAATTTGACAACCACGTGATCGGCGCCGATTATGTGCCAAATAGCGCGCAGAGAACCAATCACGATCGAGAATTTTGTTATAGTACGATTATAATAGTAATAACAATATTTACAGAGGATTACACCAAGCTAACACTAAGCTTGCTGTTTTTTTGCATGTTTTCTTCTCTGGGTGCGACCTGCATTGTTCGATTGTTTCATCGGGACAACGATAAGCAATTTGAGAACACAAGCAAAAAATCGAGAAATCTTGGAACATCTTAAGATATTTAGGTGGCAAATCGCTGTTCCGAGAGCCTTAAACGAGTTTGACCTGATAAGAATTAAGGAGAGGAACTGATTCAGAACCTGGCCGGGAAACAGAGAGCCAGACGAAAAGCGCGCTCCTCTGAAGACAACCCAGCAACCACCAACACCTACACTCGACGCGGTAGAGATTCCTGCTGCAGCAGAATCGGACTGACCAGCTACAGCCGACGCTGTTCCAGTCGTGACGTCACCACGGCACCAAACAACTACTAAGGCGAATAATCCATAGTCGACACTTACCGATGGAGGCTGATGATCGGCATGAATTCCAAGATGGCGGTGAAGAATTACAAATGGTAAGCACATAGAATGAGTCATGGAAATTTTGGAGTACCTTATTTCGAAAATTTTACAGTTGTTCGAGCTACAATTGATCGATATTTCAGGAGTTTTACAACTGAATGGAAAAAAAACTGTCTCGCAAGGTACACTGAGGTAGCGGTTTCAATAGAATTTTAAAGGTTTCCTGGCGCAGAAGTTATCAATTGTCTCAAATTTCATCATTTTCAGTGGTCAGTGAACATATAAGCAGCATGTAAGGTGATGGATAAATTTAACGAGTTTTCACTCTTCATAGCTGCCATCCTACAGTCCTTCAGTTAAAAATAGGAAAAGGCGAGTACGTATACAAAATAATGAGCATACATTTCTCACCACAAAGAGGGAACATATATCTGCAGCTGTTGCAGTGCAAGTAATATCTTGAATATGGAATTATTGTCTGGCGGTATTTGCCTTTTAAAAGGGAGTTTTAATTTCGAATAGTGCAGAAAAAAGCGCCCCTTACTAATATTTCGGGTTCTCCTTTGAACTCTGATAATAGAAAATCATAAAACGTAAACATGTTTAGGATATGGGCAATCGAGAAATGAATTTGGTGAACTTCGAATGCATGGTTGTTAAACTAATCTAACCGTGCATCGGTTTTTAATCTGACATATTACCCATCATGACGCAATTTAGAAAAGGATTAGCTACCTGGCCTTTGAATAGCAGCGAGGCTGGTGGGGACCTTGTTTTGATAAAGACCACATTGCTTTTGTTGTGTAAATGCAGTTCTTACGCCAACCATTTGCATTTAAATGAGAAAAGTATAGAGGCTGTATCAAAGCAAGGTCACCTCTAGCCTCACTTGCATTCATAGGCCAGGTAACTAAGCACACAACTGCAAAATCGCCTAATCAGCGGCTCTAGGCATGGCCCTGAGTCAAGCAGTAAACTGGGTACGAGATAAGCCCAAACGGCAGCAGAGCATACGCAATGGTATAAATTCTACAGGGCACTGTCAAAACTTTGATCCAGCGTTGTGTACTCGGAATCAGTCGTTTTATGTTCCTCGTCTTTGTTCTGCGCAGAAACCTGCAGAGAGCTGGTGTCTAGACTTTTGAAATTAGCATTGCCGTCCTCAATCAGAAAAATCCCGCTGTGTGTTCCATCCTCTTCATTTTCCACCACTCGCTTGTCGTTGACCTCAAATCTTACTCCAGCTGCTCTTGAAGAAGTGCTATTATTATCCATTCTCTGCACTCCGTCTTCTTCATTTGAAATATCAATACTTTTACGAGCTGCTGATTTGTACGAAGCTTGAGCCGCTGAATGTCTTGCCATCGTAGAGGCAGCTCGACGAGTAGCATCTGTTTAAGCGAAGTAAAAAGCGAACGAGAAGTTACGTTTTTTGAAAGAATGTAAATGGTGAGAGAGTTAATCCCCCATATAGGTCTTATTCCGAAGATTATTCCTCTCAAGTTATTTTAAGATCTCTCTCGGCTTCAGAAATTCCAGGAATCTAGAACGAAAACATTTACACAACGCGCATAGTAAAAATCTATGAGAAAACTGGAAGCCATATCTAAAAATAACCTGAGGTGGATGAGAATGTGGCCTATATGGGAAATTAGCTCTTACCCTTCACACCCCAGCATTTTCTTAACGCTTTTATGTAGAAGAGCTTTGCATGAAAAACAAACAAACGGCAACAAAATAATCCAAGAAACTTCCTTTTAGGTTATCATGCAAATATTTCAACGCTTTTACTACGCTCTGCAGGTTGGTTCTGAATTTTCGTCCACGGATGAAACCCTAGTGTGTGACCATTCAAATGAAAGCTACTGGGTTTAGATTTAGGGTTAGATGCACTTTTATTTGATGTTGTTTGTTTTTCGACTTAAATGGTCAATGTATTGTCTTTGGCTTTGATAGTGAAAGACTTATAGAAAGTTTTCACTCACGTTATTAGCAGCCGTGCAAATGTATTGGAACAAAAGAAATTGTTTACACAGGAAAAGAGTTCAACTCCCACGAGATTGGTTTGGTACACTGACATGGCCGCCGTTTCATTGTTTTGGAAGATCAATATGGCGGCTGTGATTACAAGCTCTAAGTAGGTTAACAACCTTACCAAAAAATGAACCATCGGGTTTTTGTGCCCCGCACAGAGACAAGATTTTCTTGAAGATGTACACATATCCTTGGCGGTATCTCAGGCTCATTTTTCCATACAAGATCGGGTTGATGAGAGCGTTCACAAGCGAGAAGAAACCAATGATGATCACCAGTGAATGGTTGATTTGTCCAGTCACCATACTGTAAAGGTTAATTAACTGGAATAAAAAGATAGAAATGTTATCTGTCAGTGAGAACTAATAAGCAAGTCAGGATAAGGGTAGTTAAATCACATATCAGTAAAAATTTTGGTCGTTCCTCCGCTGTCGCTAAGGAGGTTGAGGTAATTGAGACACTGGATTTGTCAAATCTCGAGACACTGTCACTTGTCTGTTTTCCGATCTAGACTCCCTTATTAAGTGTCATGTTTTGGACAGGGCTAGGTAGACAAAATTCTCTTTGTCACCGTTATTGTCATCGTCGTCACTATTGCTATGGATTGTCTTTCACGAGTCATCGTTGCCATGGTTATCGTAAACTGTAGGTGGACCGGTATGGCAGGAGTTGTCATGACAATCTTTTATCCTTTCCATCATCATGTTTAGTTAAGCTTAAGTGTTTCGAGA